ATATTCAAAATGGTAATCATCGAGTCTCTATTGTTATGAAGGTTAAAAATCATGTGCTGATCTAGTTTCTTATTGTACGTTGCGCTATCATAGTGCTTGAGGATTTCACGACTGCAGAGTCTTTGGTATACGAATTCAGCACCCTTCAAGCTGCAAATTACTTTTCAGATGATCAAATGCTTGGCGGAGGAGGATTTGGCAATGTCTATAAGGTAATGTAAACTAATCAGTTAAAGGTGGTCTAAATTGCTTTTAAGGTGTTAAAGTGGAGAAATATGGGAGAAAACGGCTTAGCCTTCTGTATTCTATTAATCACAAATATATACCAATATACAATAGAATACCTAACTTGCCTAAAACTCCTAAACAAGATAAACTTTCCAAATATACAATATTTAATATATGAAAAACCAAACTCTAATATAAGGTAACATAAACTAATTGTTTTTGGCCTTAGGGAACCCTCCCAAATGGACAAGATATAGCAGTTAAAAGGTTATCGAGGGTCTCTAATCAAGGAATGGAATCGTTTAAGAACGAGGCTGTATTGATAGCTAAACTTCAACACAAAAATTTGGTTAAGCTTTTGGGATTTGCTTAACAAGAGAGGAGAAGCTTCTTGTGTACGAATATGTTCCTAACAAAAGCCTCAACTATTTTCTATTTGGTATGTTAATTTTGAGATGCATTTTCACTTGTCTTTTAACTTGAAGTGCCATTAACTCAACTATTAGATCATTATAGGTCTTTGGTTTGTAGATGAGTATTCATTCTATTTGTAGATCCAAAAAAGCAAGGAGAATTAGATTGGCCTACGCGCTACAATATTATAACAGGTATAGCCCGAGGAATACTTTATCTACATGAAGACTCTCGACCTAGGATTGTTCACCGTGATCTAAAAGCAGCTAATATATTGCTTGAAGAAGATATGAACCCAAAAATTGCAGACTTTGGTTTGGCGAGGATCTTCAAAGTTGAACAAACAGAGGATGACACTAATATAGTAGCAGGAACATAGTAAGTTCTGGTTCTACTTTCTTGTCTTAGTTTTTCCGCTCCCTATCACAAAACCTAAGTCTAATAATTGCAATTTGTTGGCAATGTCTTTTAGTGGTTATATGGCCCCAGAATATGCAATGAATGGACAATTTTCTGTAAAATCAGACGTGTATGGCTTTGGCGTATTGGTATTAGAGATTGTAAGTGGCAAGAAGATCAATAGCAAATTCCACCCTCTGGAGTAGGAGACCTCTTGACACATGTAAGTAAAATTATTATTTGATTTTTTTTTATTTTTTTTTTCATTTTGAAATTGGATTTGATTTTAAGCATGTGAAAAATTTATTTACTACTATATGCCTCAATTATTATCTTCTAGGCCTGGAGAAGCTTGAAAGAAGAACAACATTGAACTTTATGGATCCAACATTGAAAGACACATATTCGGCTGATGAAGTGATGAGAAGCATTCATTTAGGCTTATTATGTGTACAAGAGAATGCACATGAGAGACCAACCATGTCAACAATAGTCTTCATGCTCAATACAAACTCTACTACAAGTACACTTCCAACACCTCAACGCCCTCGATTTTATTACAATAGTAGTACAGAACCATCTTATATCATGAAAGGTCTAATAAAAATTCAACAGCAACATCATCCACCTCATGCGACTCAAAGCCATATACACAAAATCAAGTAACAATAAGTGAGATGAGTCCTAGGTAGATAGGGTATCTTGTACATCACTTTTGAGCAACAAAAATGATAATACAATTTGTTTCTCACACACATACAATTTCATATGCAATATTGTAATGATAATACAATTTGTCGCACATACAATTTCGAAAGGGTAAGGAAAAAGCACAGGAAGATATGGTCGTTATGAATCATTGGCGTTTTTTATTGTTGACACATCCTTCATCAATTTGATGCAACATTGTATTACTTTTTTCTTAGAAATAAAACAGATATCTATGTCGAAACCCATTGTAGCCCACTTGTGAGTATCCCATATTGGAGAAAGAGGAGAGGTGATTCCACTTTATAAGATAGAGGAGTTACTCCTACAATTGCCAATTGGTTTTAGTATAGAAGCTCCAAAGCCTTATTTATGGACGAAACTCTCCTCCTCCTTGTTCGGGTTGCCCTGGCCTATTTCATATTGTTTTGAAATTTAATAATCTATTTTGGCGTTGAATTTGTTGTTTTTTTTATAAATAAAAATTGGTATAATACATGTTAATCTAAGCTTCATATAGTACAAGCTAGCATTCAGGAAAAATACAACCAAAGATATCCGGTATTAGAAAAACATATAAAAAAATAATTAAAAAAATGACCATATATTAATAAAAATGTCAATATCAAACGCTTTCAATATACCCCATAACCCCAATACTTCAACAAAGTAGTTCAAAAGAACAATAACTATTTATTAATATCTCGTCAAGACTCAAGAATAATAGTTACTCGATCAAATGATTAATTAAATGTAACCCCACTACTGTCACTATCTATTGGACTACTTCTAGGAAAATTCCAATTCAACTGTAAACCAATCCGAAGTAATATCTATTCATTAATCAGCCTTGACTAATCCAAAATTTGACTCAATTAGTCGCTTACCCTTTGTTTACATCTCAAAAAATAAATGAAAAATAAATTTAAAAAATATGAAAATAATACCAATGTTTTTTTTTTTGAAAATAAATTTTAGAAATTGTTATTCCTGAAAAAAATATATTTCATAGAAATTGTGTCTAAGTTGATGTAGAAAGTGTGTTTGACCCGTTTTCTTAAGTCAAGTAAACGAAATAAATAAAACCTTGTTAAACGTTTAAAATAGTAATTTAAGAAGCTAAGCTATGTGATCAACTCAATCATCCTAAAAAAAACCAAACAAACAAACAAACAAAAAGTTGTGAAAATGGCTCAAAAACTAGTCCGAGTTTCCCTAATCTTTATGATTAATATCTTAATGATGATTTCCAAATCTAATTCCGCTCCAAACTTATTGGCACAGTCATGCTCAAATACCACTATGTTCGCCAATAATAGCCAATTTCGAGCCAATCTTGATACACTATTCCGTTTACTCACCTCTAACGCTACCAACCCGACCGGCTTCCATCAAGCCGTGTCTGGCAGTGGAAACACCACAAACGAAGCCGTGTATGGCCAATTCCTCTGTCGCGGGGACCAAAATGTAAGCTCGTGTCAAGACTGTGTTACGACGGCCACTACCACTGACCTCCCTAAGACATATTGTCCTAACCGGAAAGATGCAATAATATGGTACGACGAGTGTATGGTTAGGTATTCCAACAAGTCATTTTTCGGTAGATTGGATACTACCCCTTCGTGGCTTTATTGGAGCTCGCATAATATATCTGGCAACACGACTAGGTTTATGGACCTGTTGAGCAACATGTTGAACAACGAGATTGGGGTAAGAGCTGCAACCGGCGGTTCACAAAAGAAATTTGCAACGTCTTTTGTGAATTATACGAGTTTTGAGACGATTTATGGGTTGGGGCAGTGTACGCCGGACTTAAGCCCTAGCGATTGTAATACGTGCTTAGTTGGCGCTGCTGGCGGGTTTAGAGAGACTCAAGGTGGAAGAGTGTTGCAACCTAGTTGTGTTGTTCGATATGAGGTTTATCCGTTTTTTAACATGTCATCGCTACCATCACCATCACCACCACAGTCGCAACCACAACCACCATCACCAACACCGAATTCTAACGTCTCTAGTGGTAAGTCCAATTATTATTTTTTATATATGTCTCCTCGAACTCGTTACAACTTTTTAAAATTATAATTTGGTCGATTAAGTAACGACATATTGATTAAATTATAAGGTAATGTTTGATTTAAAATGCAGATCATACAAGTATTCAGTAAACAAATTTTGTAAAAGATTACTTTGTTTAAAATTAGTCAAACCATTCATACATAAAAATGTTCATAAGTCCAAAAAAAAAAAAAAAAAAAAAAAAAAAAAAAACTCATTTACGAGTAAGTTCCTAGTCACAAACCTAACCACCTAGGAATAGAAAATCAATTTATTTTTGGGCTTTTTGCGAGAAACTACCTTTTATAAGCAATTTTTTTTGTGAGAAACTACCTAATAAAAAAAATGTTATAGGAAACTACCTATTAAAATAAAATTGTTGTAAGAAACTACCTATTAAAGCAAAAAATGTTGTAAAAAACTATTATTCCTCGAATTTTCGTCTTTGACTAATTTCTCCGGCGTTGAGCATGTGCGGCCGGTCACATGATAGCTGGTATTATTGGTGGGGCATGGAAAAAAATAAAGGTGGTGGGGCATGGAAAAAAATAAAGGTTACAAACAGTTCATGTGATTGGCAAATAGGTGGTCAACGCCGGAAAAATTAGTTAACGATGAAAATACGGTGAAAGGGTAATTTTTTACTACATTTTCATTTTCATAGGTAGTTTTTTACAACATTTTTTTTATTAGGTAGTTTCTCTCAAAAAATGTCTTTTAATAGGTAGTTTTTGACAAAAAGCCCTTTATTTTTTCCTCCATTGGAAGGGGAGCATCCTAATAAATATTCATGAGAAAACTAATAAATTAATTATTTTTTGTAAATTAATTATTGTCTTTATATAGGCTGGCAAACATCCCGTTCAAAAAAAAAAAACATATAGGCTGGCAAACATAAAATGATAATGATACTCCCTAGTAAAATCATCATGTCCCAAGTACAACAAACAAGTTCTATTTTGTCAAGGCTTAGCCCAAAACCAAAAGCCCAATAAAGTGAGCTGTTATTAGCCAATATGCCAATATTTGTTTCTTAAATTCATGTATAGAGAACATTAACACTATGCTTTCGATATCTAGAAGTTTTCTATAGTTTACTGGTGCTACTGTCTATTAATCTATCTTTATTTTTACTTAATTTAAGTTTACTTTGATTTCAATGTTATCATTTTGTATTTTGATAAAAACTAAGTGCTTCATTTGTTTTTTAAGTTGCTACGCTTCTTTTACCACGTGTTATAAATGTAACATGTTTTTCATGCAGGGAGCAAAATTTCAACAAAGGCGATTATTGCCATTGTAGTTCCTATTGTGGCTGTTACAGTGGCATTACTTGTTATAGTCATTTGTTGTAGCACCAAATACAAGAAAACAAAGACCTATGACTCTGTTGCTGCTGAAACTGGTAGACAAAAATATGTATAATTATTTCGTCAATAATATGTATACTTTGCTGGTTAATTTTATGATTTTTATGATGATGTTGAAGGTGATGATTTCACTACCGTCGAGTCCTTGCAATATGACTTAACAACGCTTCGATTAGCAACAAATAATTTTTCGGATGAGAAGAAATTGGGTGAAGGTGGATTTGGTGGTGTTTATAAGGTAAGACAACAATTGTCCTGATTATGTTAGTTTCTCTTAACCATTTCTAGCTGAAACTTATTACTCTTCCTTTTACGAAGATAAAGAAACTTGTTATTAAGGGCCTGTTCTCATATTAACTCTATTAACTCTTTAACTATTAATTAAGCGCCGTTTTACCCTAAAAAAAGGGTCAAGTCTCATACGTTGAAATTCAGTTCAGCTCAGTTGAGTTCAGTTCAATTTAGCTGAGTTCAGTCAATGAGAACAAACCCTAAGAATGGGTTTAGTTTATGAATGGATTCATGATTGGCGTTAATAAATTAGCTTGAGTGATGGAGAAGAAATAATATAACGAACACAACCATAAAAATAAGGATTTTGTGTGTGATTGTGTGTGTGTGTCAACTAATTTTGTGATATAGCATAAATAAACTTAACCATCATTGTGTCTTTCAAAAAAAAACTTAACCATCATTGTAAGTTTTCGGTTAAGTTGATCATTTAATATGATATTATATCCACGTGACACTATTAAGCTTTTACATGGTTGATTTGGTCTTCTAACAATTTGAACCAAAAATAAGTTATTTGCAAGCAATACCAAGGCGGCTTAATAATCCGTAAAATAACAACTAATATTGTAGCATTACATAGCTTGGATGTAAAACACGCTATACTTATGTTAATGATGCAAAAAATTTCATGTTTTCGATAGGGTACACTACCAAACGGGCAACAAATAGCAGTGAAGAGGTTATCCATGAATTCTAGCCAAGGAATACAAGAATTCAAAAATGAGGTCTTATTAGTTGCCAAACTTCAGCACAGGAATTTGATTAGGCTATTGGGATTTTGTTTTGAAGGGCAAGAAAAGTTACTAGTATATGAATATGTGCCTAACAAGAGCCTTGACAAGTATCTTCACGGTACATTTAGTTTCAAAACCTATATATTTCTGTTCAAATTAAAGTTAAACTTTAGGCAAGGTGATAATGTAACATCGATTATCATTAA